CTTGTTTACCATAATCTTCTTCTATTCAATAATGATTACCAAGATCCTCAAGAGACATTTTCGTTTTTTTTTTTTATGTTTTAGAGTTTTCTTAATGTCTCTCCATAAGGGATAAGCTTATCAATTATAGAAGATACCACAATAGCTTGATCCATTTTAAGACCATATTGCTTAAATCTATTTATAATGTGTTCAAGTTCATGTAATTGCTCTATAATATAATGATTTATTAAAACGACTAACCAAAAATTTCATGCTACTTGCATCTTCAGCCATGTATCTTGTTTCCAATTTGTCCCAAAGTTGTTTTGCACTAGCTTCATTTTAGTTTGCATTGAACAATGCATTTGACATTCCATTAAGAATGTGTCCCATGCATATGTAGTCATCATTATCCCATTTTTTCCTTAAACGAATTTGATTCACAAACTCTTCATCACCTTCTTCATCTGGTCTTAGTGTATCTAGAACATAAGTGATATTGAGAGTTGTAAAGAAGAAGTGCATCTTTTGCTACTTCTAAATAAAGTTTCCTCATTCAAAATGATTTAACTTGACAATGTTGGTAGCCATTTCTTTAAGTCAAGCCATTTTGAATTCCAACACCATGAAAATAAGTCTTAAAATTGTTAGTACAAATGGGGTTTAGATGAAATTTAAGGAATTAACAAAATAGACTTCAGAGGCAAGCCTTTTTTGCTCTTACCACTCGATATGTAAAGGGGAATAATGTGAATAACCTAAGGGATACGATGAAACTAACGTCTAGCTTTATCTTACACTTTATAAGAGTAGATTGCTAGATATACTTAAAGGTTTGTAAATTTGTTCAGCCTTAGAGCTTACCTTTTGAAGCGAGTAGATTATAAGGAATTTGGATGTTTTTGTAGTTAATGGAAACTTAAGTGTTTATATTAATTTTCAAAACACAACATTTCTTTTGTTCTTGATTTTTTTGCTATTGTTTTGTTTTTGTTTTGATGTGTCAAAATGGTTAGCAACAAGCCCTTTATATAAGCATGCAAATGTCTTTTCTTCAAAAACACAACCTTTTCATTAAGACAGCACTTTGTCTAAAAGACATCGTTACATTTTTGTAAGACACAACCATTAAATAAAGGTATTGTATCAATAATCACCTTATGAAAAGATAACCATTTATTTCCTAAAACATAATCTTTAAGCTATAATTTGAAATGATAGCTTTTAATATTTAAACTTTTGAGCTGTGGTGTTTTTTCAATTTGTTTCATAACCTATGGATGTCATTTTACCATGAGACGTTACCATTCAAATGAAAAACCTTAGTATAATCCAATAGTCACTTTATGTGACATTACTTTTGAGCTAAGATAGCTTTTCATTATATGACTTAACCATTGATGTTGAAAATACACTAACATGCAGCTTGTTACTTACTATCGAAATGTGGTGGTTGCATGCCAATGGAGAGGTGCAGTAGCCTTGTGTGGCAGCTCCTTAGACAACTATTATCATAAGTTGTTGTTTGCCTTATTAAAGGCATTGCTTGTGTTTTGTCGAATGTCCGACCCTTCATACATCAATTCCAACTCAAAATTAATCCCTTAAATGAACATTTCAAATTAGGATTTAATTCTAAAATTTTCAAAATAAAATTTACAAGACTTTCTTGCCATTCAAAATAAAAAATCATGCTAAAATTGTGTTGGACAAATTCTGGTTTTGACTCATTTTCATTGCTCAATTTTAGCTTATTTGATCATGAGCACTTCATGATTAAGTTGTCCACTTATCTAGCAATAAGTGTGAAACAATTCCACAACCCTAGCTTGATAGAAATTAATCAAATCTTTGAACAAAATCAGCACAAGGACCGCATTACTTGAATTCTTTCGTAATCGAACCTGTTTTTGCAATTGTTTAAATGTGCATCTCATGCATCATTTAGTTGCATTTTAGGTAAGCTACTAATTCTTCTAGTTGACCAAAGAAAACACAAAACCACTTTGGGAATACAGGCTAGTCAATTTCTAAATTAGATTTTAAAATTAAAAAGAAAACATATGTGTTGCCAAAGACAACATTAGAACTGAATCAAAACCTTGCTTTATTTGAAAATATATTTCATATAGCGTTCAATCCAAACTTTTAAGAACTTTAAATCATAATTTAAGGTGACTGAAATGCACTTAAAAAGGTTGATTCCAAGTTTGGATAGAAGAACAATAATAAACAAAATAGAAAACGAAAAAGCTACCTTAAGACAACATCCAAAACCGAATGCAATTATGCTTCATTTGGTTGAGCATCTCATACAAGACTCATCCACACTTTAAATGATCGTTAAATATGATTAAAAAGAGCTTAAAATGTGATCCTACCAAGTTTGGACTTAATCAAAATTGAAGCAAAATGAAAAAATTAAAACAACACCTTTTTTAAATTGATTTTGTACCAAAAGATGTCAAATCAAAATGGAAAGCATCCTAAATGCTAATCATGATGATAAAACATGTAATGATCATAAAAATCCTTGAATGATGGCTATGATACCACTGATGGGAAAGGGCCGGCCATGCATCATAATGCAAAACAAAAATAAAAGCCAAATATAAACGTAACAGAAATAAAGAATCAAAATGGGTATTTCCATGCAAGGTCACTTTCATGGTTTTTATATGATCTGCAATACAATAAAACATATATATGATCTGGTCATTACCTTGGAAACAAAATAAATTTGATTCCTTATTCAAACTCGACCAAACGGCCTCTTCAAGAGACCTTACACCAAGCTTGGTTGTCGCAAATCAAAGCTGTCCAAGAAGTTCTTGTGCGGCCCCTAACAAAAGTCAGCATGGTGAATAGGGAAATCCCTACAAAAGAGTGAGATTGCCAAGCCTTCAATGTGCTAGCAAGGATGTGTTCTGAACACTTTTCCCTTCCTTTTCACCCTAGCCAAATAGCATAAGAGAAAAACGTATTTTTCTCTCACATACTCACAAGGGATGGCAACACTACGCGTTAGTGAAAAGTGGTGGCTAGGTTACTTAGGATGAGTAGCTTAAACAAGGTATTTATATCTTGGACCAATTTCAGTCCTAATAACTTTTTTCATATAATGCTAATTGGTCCTTGCACTTAATTAAACCTTTTAATTAAGTTCAATAAAAGTTCATAACTTCTAGTTCTAATTAAGTCTAACTTAGTAACCTCTCCTAATTTAATCCTAATATTCACCTTTTGTGTGTGACCCATTAGGCTTCCAACATGTTAGTAATGACCTTGAAATATAATATATGAATTAAATTTAAGATTAGATGAATTCAAACTATTTTGAATTTATAATTGATTATACCAATCATTTTACGATCATAGGCCATGAATGGGATCTAACAATCCATCATGACTATCTAAATGTTAGAAGAGTCAAAATAGTTTAACTCAACTTTTTAGTGATTAGTCTCTTAGTATAATTTAATCATTTCAACATGTATCTCAGAATGCTTAAGAACATGGTGTAGTATCAACTCCTAGACTTTTCATGTTAGTCATGGCACTAATTATTTATCAAGGATTATAGGAAGCTCATTTCCTAAAATCCATTCTGCTCTGGCTAAAGTCTTCACATAGGCTAACTCAAGGCATGAACAATCGAGATGCATCTATTTAATCACTCGAAGTAATGAATCTTGTCTTGACAACTTATTTACCTTCATACGCCTCATGCTATACCCAAAGCATTCTATTTAGGAGTCATTGGTAAGGCAAGTAGGGATGAAATCAAAGTATAGCAATTCTTGTATAAGACAACCTAGTGTCTTAAGTCTAAAGATCACTTGCATGATTGTCACATTATAGTGAAGTACCAAATGAAATCCTCATGTCGAGTTATGTTCAGTGAATTTGTTTCTAGAACAAGCACTTATATTTCAACCTATGAGATCGGTTGCTTACTTTCGAAGTAAAGAACATAAAATATACTAGTTTTTAAGCATCATTGATGTTTAGCCTGAATGCTATGTTGTCTAGGAAGAATTTAGAAATTATACTTTGATGCATAGAAATCTCATAATTATAACACTTTACAATTCCCTGGCAAAGCATGTTAATCGCATAGACTTATAAGCATAATCTTGTTGATGAATGAAAACCTCTAATCATTCAGTATAAATGATATGATTGCATGATTGGATCTAAGAATTAATCAATCTGATTGGCTACATAGCTCATTCCAACATGAAGTCTAGATCACGTTTTTCAATTAGCTCACGAAATGAACCTTTCTTCCTTTATTTGTACTTTTTGGGTAGCTTTGATGATGTTGCATAGCCACGTCCAGTAGCCAAGAAACTGGGTAAGGGTTTCTTTCTTTTCTCAAAATTAGGTAGTCAAGTTGAGCAAAAAAGAAGCTTAATTGGTGCTAATGCATGCGACTTTAAGAACGAAGGAGATTTCATTGCTCCATGAGAGAAGGAGAGATAAGGTTATTCCATAATTTGGTTTTTCGAAATTAGATTTAGGGATTTCCTGAAGTGATAATTTCATTGCAATATTTCAATTGTTATGAATTGTAAATTTTGGACAAAAAATTTAAGATATTGAACTTTGTAAATTTACTTATTTTTCATAAAATGGATTTTATTCGGCTAGTGTCATGGTTTTTTCCTCTACATGTATATTTGGAGTTCTTTATTTTGCTATTAATGCTTGTGATATCTATTGATTTATTTTCCCATTTGGTTGATTAATTTAGATTTATTATCTTATAAATATTGTGGCTTGAGTTGTGGCGTCTTTTTATTGTGAGTATCTTAGTATTTGGTTGATTGTTGCTAGAGAGGTCCAACTCTACCGAATTCGATTTAATCCATAAATTAATTTTAAAAGTGGACCATCCAAACTTTATATAATTAGAAACTAAAACAAATATTTCGAACCTTAATTGATCAAATATGCATAATTATTTTCATTTTAAATTTAATTTAACTTAGAAATTATATATATATATAATATAACATAATATAAATTACTAAACAATGACCTTAATTATTTGAATTGATCACAATCTTTGCAAGGGACATTAGGCAATTCAACCAATATTTCCCACGCTCCCAATCCATGCTTCTTTTACAGACCCACTTTCCCAATCCTTAGATAAACAGGAAAGTTAACCAGTTTTTGGTCATTATTCCCTTCTTCACTCCAACCACGCTTGAAATCCTCAACCACATCCTCGCTCAAAAGCTCAACGCCCTTCTCCTTAGCCTTCTGATACGCTGACCACGATCTCAAGTAGGTAAAATAGTCCTCTAGACCCATCGATCTCTCATTTGCGAACTCGAATGGTCCCGTGCTATCCGCCCCATCCAAAGGCTCGAACGGAAAATCGATGTCTATGTACTTACGATCCACCAGTTTTCGCGGTGGATCCCAGTAAGGATTCTCGTAAAATCGTTGAAGGATCTTGTCCACGTAAACGTTGACTTCTGGGGTCGTGTAGCACCAGGCGGCGATGACTCCATGGGGTTTCTTGAGCACCATTTTCACCTGTTGGTAAAATACAGGGAGATCGAACCAGTGTATGGCTTGTGCAATGGTGACTAAGTCAACGCTTGATTCTGCTGCCACTTTTTGCTCAACCTCCGCCAGGGACATGACTGGAGAGGTATGCTGGTATTGGATATTGGGGAGTTTCGATGCTAATTCAAGCTGTGTTGGGCTTGTGTCTGTGGCTACGACATTCTTGTAAATCTCAGCCAACTGAAATTAACATGTATTAGAACATCTAAAAAAAATCCTCTGGGCCGTGTAAAGGAAAAATATTTTTCCGAGGCAACAATTAAAAGTGCATATAATTTAGAAGTCACATAGAGAGTAAACTGAGACTCACAGATCGGGCAGCCTGGCCGCTGCCGGTACCGACATCCCATGCAAGATCATGTTCTGGGGTCTTTGAGGCAATGAATTGGAATAATTCTGTTGGGTAGCTCGGGCGACCCTTTGCATAATGCTTTGCCTGCTTAATGAACAGGTTTGACATTGTTTTGTTTTTCCCTCTCTCTTATCTGTTGTCCGGTCTGAGATGGTGAGAGGCCAATTATCTGCTTTCATATATATAGTTTCCTAAAAAGTAGTTTAAAACTGGGGATGCAATGAAAGGAGAGGAGAGGAAAGGATGCAACTGGGGAAGCATCAGCTGTGGATTGCCACAGGAAGTTTCCTACTCGTGTCTTTATCAGCTTAAAATTGCTCATTAAAGGCAGAGTTTTCAACCTAATTAGGCGCAGTATGTTGTCAAATTTTATTGATTAATTAATTGAAGCAGGGCGTAGCCAATCGTTTATGCTCGATGTGCTGATGGAATTTTTCAGGATGCTTAACCAATCTAAAGAGACGAGTCCAAGTTTTGCTGTGAGGCTGCGTGGACCATTCATTATGCCGTTGAAGTAAATGCGTCACGGGTGACGGACCACGCATGCACGACAAAATGATAGTCTTCAGGATTACTGTGTTTTTTCTTGCTTGCACGACTTACGTGGGTGGTTTTTATTTGGCCACTACTGAAAGCACGTGGAGCGTATGGGGTTTGTCATGTTTCTAAACACTGTCAGAGACTATCATCCTTGCCAAGATATGAAGGACAAGGTTATATGGAAGAAAACACCTAATGGGGTTTACATGACAAAGTCTTTTTGCCAAATGGTAGCGGGAGAGGAAGGAAATAAGGAGAAGGTGTGGAAATGGGTATAGGGGGGTTAGCCACACAAAAAACAAAGATGTTGGTTAGGCAACTTGTCCATGGGAAAGATGTCGTTAAAGGAGAACATTTTAGGAAAGGGCTGCTTGCCGAGGTTGATACAAGGTATCCACTTTGTAACAAGGAAATGGAGATGGTAAACCATTTATTTATGGGATGCTATAAAAGTTGAGGGTTATGGAATGCATGGCTGAATAATTGGGGTGTAATGTGGGTGATGCTAGGGGGATTTAAAGAGTTTATGGTTATGTGGAATACTACCATGGTAGGGGAAGGTGATTTCAAGAACTAAAAAATTGCCATCTTTACAATAACTTGGATTATATGGTTGAGTAAGAACGACGTTGTCTTCCATCATGAGGAATGGGATAGGGAGATGATCGACAATTTCATTAAACTTAGGGTGGATATGTGGGTCAATGCAAGATGGCCAACAAAGCACCTATCAATTTCGGATGTTTATAGGCAGCCCAACATGATGACAAAAATAGTCGAATGCAAAGCATAAAGAAAGACCACCACACGAATGAGACCATAGAGGGAAGAAGTCAAGTTTAATGTCGATAGTGCAAAAATGGAAGCTCAGGAGCTGTAGGTATTAGTGGCGTGATGAGGAATGATAAAAGAGAAGTGTTGATCAGGTTTTCCATATTAATTGGGAATGGTTACTCGAACCTGGATGAGATCTCTGTTATCAGGAAGGCTTTCTTATTGTTTGTTGAATCTCTTTGGGCCAACTACCATAACTTGGTTATGGAGAGTGACTTTCAAAATACTATTAAATGGGCAAATACCCTTTAAGAGATGCCATGCAGATTTCGTAGGTGGATGTTGTAGATTGAGGCACTCAAAAGAAAAGCCCTTAAGTGGAAAGTGTGTTACACCTTGCGAGAAGGGAACCTAGTGGTAGATCCACTGGCAAAAGAAAGAATGGATAGGAAAATAGATTTGTGGAGATTGTTGAAAATGGTAAACCTGATTTGGTTAATGGTTAACTAACTGTTTCATTATGCTAGTTTTGTGGCCATCTTATGTTGTGTAGAGTTCCAATTTTCACGACATGATGTAAGTCATTGGTTTGGAGGCTATTGTGTTGTCTCCCTTGTTTGGTTCTCGTGTATCTGGTATTGAATGTTAAGGGGTCAAGGGTCTAAAGCATTTTGTGTACATTTCTAGGCTTTTGTTTATGCTTTTACTAGGTTTAGGGTTGCTATGGGATGTTGATAGGATGGAACGTCTTGATCTCATAGGCAACCATTATTACAGGTTGATCGTGTTTTGTTTAAGATTTGAGCTCAGGTAGTTACTCTCCAGAGCTGATCATTCCACCTTAAGAGGCATGTTTTGTATAGCTTTTTATTTGAAATGAATATGCCTTTCCAAAAAAAAAAGATTATACTTCCTTTCCATTAAGTTGTCTGAACAAAGGAATTTCAAGGAAATCTATCTATACCGAAATCCTCAAACAAATCTTCCCTTATTCAATTTGTCTAAACCTTTAATACAAACCCAATAGCCATATGTCTATGTCAGAAATCCAACTATATATATATATATAGAAACAAAAGAAGATCAATAAAAAATTGAGTTAGTTAAGAATAATTTTTAAGTTAAATTAAGATGGATAAATAATCAAGTAAGAGTTGAATAGATTTTGGGTAAAATACACTGACACCCCTAAGTTTTAATCATAATTCCATGTGGGTCCATTATGTTAGATAAATAAGCTTAAAGTAAAATAACCAAGGGATGTGGGTGAATTGGGTATGAAGTAAAAATTCTTTTTCTTTTAGATTTTTAACTTAGTTGAAATATAAAAGGCAAAGTTATAAAAATAGAGTATAAGCTAAGCAAGTAAAGTGCGGAAAGTAAAGAGTATTTAGCCAAGTTTTTATAAAGGTTTGATCTTTAATGCCTATGTCCTTTTCCTTGATAGCACGATGAATTCGAATCCACTTTCAACTCACCTTTTAACATAGAATTAGATGTAATCTTTACAACCAAATGCAATTTAAAGGATCAAGCATAACCTCAACCAAAGTAATTGCCTTTTTAGAATCAAGCACAACTTTTACAACCAAACGCATTTTACAACCTCTCTACCTTTTACTCAGAGGTAAAACCTTAACACTACCTTTTCAAGGAGGTATAACCTATACAACTATGAATTCTTAAAAGAATCTATAGTTTAGGATCTCTAACAAGGCAGGTAAGGAATTTGAGTACAAAAAAGGTGAGAGCTTTCTTAAGAATGATGAATAATGAAGGAAGTTTTCGCTCAAGGAATATTAACTGAAGGATAAAAGAATAATCTTTATGATCAAAGAAAGGATTTTTCTACTCTAGGCTCTCTTTTCTTGTTTTCCCTTTTTTCTCTATTTTGAATCATTCAAATTATTGCTTTCATAGGGTTTTTTAGCAAGTATTTATAGGCACTGAAGAATATGCCCGTTGAAGCAAATTTAAAAATCATTTTGTACGTTCTAACCAGCGTGCACATTTTGTTGTACATGGGGAATCGATTCTTTGTTCATGAGTTGTTGGTTCTTCATGACATTCTTCAAAGTCTAAAACTTTCTGTTTTTGTAGAATCTATTCTTTCTTCTTGAGATGTTGGTTTTTTCAAATGTGACACCTTTCCACTTTTCAAGAATTGATTCTTCTATTCCAAGGTGTCAGTTCTTCACTATGGTTTGGTGCCAAAATTTGAATTTGAGCTTGATCTTTAAGGCTCCAATTTTACCCAATTGTATAATATCTTTCTTTTTTACTAAGTTTATTATTTTTGTTGTTAGTGCTTCAGGAATCGATATCTTCTTCCTCAATAATTGATTTTTTGTTTGCAGACTTGAGATCTGTGGTTTGTTCTCACTCAGAACCAATGATTACTTCATGGAAAATCTATTATTTCATGTTTGGATTCTTCCTTCTGCATTCTGTTCTTCCAAAATCGATTCTTGCTCTTTAAGGTGTCAGTTTTCAATTTTTGAAACTCCTGTTTTCTAAGAACTGACTCATTCTTTTCTCAAAATCAATTATTCTTGTAGTAAGAGAATAAATTCTGCTTTCGATTCATTTAAGAATCGATTTTTTTCATTCAAAATATTGATTCTTAAGGCTAGTGCTTTGACTTTGAGTTAGCTTAAAAATATTTTTCTTTACAAGATCAACTTTAAAACTCTTGAGGATTTTCTTCAAGCTTGAAAAGCATTTTCATTCATTCTTAAAGCACATTTCGATTAATCAAGTGTGAAAGCATTTTTCATTTATTCTTAAAAAAAGATTTAGATCAATCAATTTTGTTATTTCGAAACCAGATTGAAGCTAACACATTAGTTTTCAAAATTTACAGTTTACTCCAAAAGAATATCTTCTACTAGACACATAAATTTAGCCGTTAATCAACCGTTAATTTTTTCGTTAATTTGAAGATGTGACAATATTAAAAAAATAATTTTAGACTTCATTAATTTTAAAAATTACCACACTATAATTTTTTTACAAACACTCTACCCTACCTCCCATCAACTGACCACATGACCAAATTTGGCCAGAGATCATCAAATTTAGCCAAATTGAGCTCCATTCGGGAGCACTGATCTTGGAGCTCCCTAAAAAGCACTAGTCTTAGAGTTCTAAGGAAAAAGAGCATTAAATTGGCACTCCTAAGATCTAGTGCTCTCTTGGGGAGTTCGGTTGAATATGGTATTCCATGGTCAGATCCGACCGCAAGGTGGCCAGTCGGGGTGAAAGAGCATTGCCAGTCAACTTGACATAAAGAAATAAAAGTGAAAAAAAAGAAGAAGAAGAGCATTTTAAACATTTCATGTTTAGGTATTAATGTTGTTTACGCATTTGAGACAGAGTGTCCATTTTAAAAACTAATGGACCCATGTGTAATTTTAGTTAAAAGTTAAGGGATTAGTATATTTTACCCATAGATTTTCCACATATAAATACAACTTTTATTTTTGAAAATAAGTTTCCAATTGTTACCAAGAGCCATAAGCTACGCATAGCTTATTTCATAATAAATACAAGGGAGATAATAAAAATAAATAAACCCCACGAAATTTAAAAAATCTAGATTTGGGGATGTCTAAATACCTAAAACCATACACACTAATTTCTAGCAAGTTAATAGAATTGTTTAAACTTAGACAAGTATATATTCGAAACCCAACTCGCTAAAATCTCTATTTTCACATAATCACATTATCTAAAGTTAAGGGAAATAAAAACCTTCATCAGCCTATGAAAACCTACCACTCCATGCCGGCCAAAGCTCTTTGATTTTCGCAAAAAGTCTTTTTCCAATCGACCCCTAAATACTTGCGTGATGCTTATCTCTTTTTTTTAAAAAAAAAAACAAGAATATAAATATCATTCAAAAAAGGGAAAAAAGGAGTATTGTTTGACAAAAAGAATACCACTTGCCTCTAGGATATACACAACCAGCCCTACTCTAACAACCAATAGTTCTATAATGAACAAAAAAAAAACTCTTTATAGAAAATATAGCCTGCATTATAATCAATAAAAGCTAAATATCTCATTCTGGACTTATAAACGGCTACAACAAGAAAAATGCAGCAAGAAAACAAAGTTCTCACAATTGAAAGCAGCAACAACAAAAGCAAAACTAAAGGGAACATTAGGCATTCTCATTATTCTAGAGAAAGGTTTGAGTGAGTAACATACCTTCTTTGGCTAAGAAATTAGCTTTGTTGTTAGTCAATCAAGGAATGTGCTTGATGTTCCAACTACCAACAATGTTGAGAATCTTGAGAGTTTGTATGATTAACAACTTTAGCTTCCATGGAACTCCAGAGGGCTTTGAAATCTAGCAAACTACATTTTTAGTGTCAGACTCTTTTAGGAAAAGGTGAGAAAAATTCCACCTTGAAGTTGAGTATATCAAAGCTACCTCTTTAATCACAAGGAGTTTAGCTCCGTTAGCATACATGACCTTAATAACCTTGGAGAATATGGAAAGATTGACCACATTTTCATTGCGTCAGATGCAGCTAATTCCAGAATCACCAAGGTAGTCTTTCAAAGCACCGTTTGTGTTAAATTTAAAGACCCCCATTTGAGGCCTATACCAAGTTTTAATACTATTAACACTTTTGATTTTGCTACGGACATAACCAAGAGTATGGAATCTAGCAAGATCGCCTATAGAATGGTTAAAATGAGGCCATTTCACACTAAAACACCAAGCAATTTTGACTTTAGAAAATTCAAAGATGAAGCACCCATCTCATTCTTTGCCCTCCAAAAACAACAAAATTCCTAGTAATCCAAATAGCCCAAACAATGGCATACAAACCTATTTTCCAAATCACACTATTTTTTAAGTTGTTAACAAAATAGAACTAACTAAAAAAACAATTAAGTGGGTTTTGATGTAAAACCCAATCGACATTCCATAAATAAAATCATAGCTACCAAATATGCCAAGTTTTGTCATAAGCAAAAAAAAGTGATGTACCATTTCAAGTTCTCTTCTCGAAAAGAGGCAACTAGTAGTGTTTCTATTGATAATACCTTTCATTGCTAAGGTTTCTCTAATAGCCAAACGTGTTTTCACAAGTTAACAACATAAGACCTTTACTTTGTAAGGAGCCAGACCACACCATGTCATCTTCTAGTGATCTGTATAAGGGGTGTTAGTAAGTAAAACCTAGCAATGGAAAGAATTAAAAGAGTAGTCACCTCGGTGAGTCCATTTTCAAATGAGTTTGTCTTGAAAATCCTTATCAATCACTTGATCATTAAGGAGAGAACAAAAACAGTCCCATTGCTTATATTCCCATCCAAAAACATTTCTCTGTAGATCAATTTTCCATTTTCAGCTATTCACAGTTTATTCCTCGAATTCACACATTTTCCCACTTTTTTGAGTGCAAGTGCAAAGACTCTAGGAACAGCCAATTTGAGGATGAAACCTTCAATCTATTCCTCCTTCCAAAACTTGATTTTACTACCATCACCTAAAGAAAGAATCATGCTTGTGGACACAAAGTTGCTATATTTAAAATTCTCGTGTAGAGGTTTTGACTATGTTTTTCGACACGGTAGAGGCTTCATATCTATTACCTAGCCTTAGAATCAAGTTATTTAGGTTAACCCTAATTTATCATTAACAACATGTCTCCAAAAACTATCTAGTTCGCTATTGTATCTCAATAACCATTTGTTAAGGAGAGCTCATTTTTTTGAGTCCAAGGTCCACCATCTTAAGATCGCTTGAGTCTTGATAATTAAACACATTTTCCCATTTGACATGGCGCAGTCTATGTACCAGATTTGGCCTACCTTATAAAAATCTCTTTTGAATGCTTTTAATAATATTTTAACCTTTATCAGCATCCTAAAAGGGACATGAAGAACAGTGGCATGCTGTTCATGATAGATTTCAAAAAAGTTACATGGTCACCTATAGATAACAACTTACCTTTCTATGTAGCTAAATTCTTTTCTAATTTTTGAATGAGGGGCTACCAAATGCTTGAAGAGCCAACTGAGGCTCTTAAGGGAAGGCCGAGGTAAGAAGTTGGGAGAGTTTCAAGTTAGCATTTTATCAAATTAGCCCATTGACTTACAGTTTACTGGTCAACTAAAACACCATAAAGGAAGCTCTTTTGAAAATTAATTTTCAGTCTAGAGACAACTTGAAAACACTGAAGCAATCATTTAGTATTACGGAGAAAAAGAGAATTAGGTTCACATATAATTATCATGCCATTAGCATATTGTAAGTGGATGACTTTGACTCCTAACAAACCAACATCAACACCTTTGATAAGTTGCCAATCATCAGCTTTGTACATCAGTGCACTGAAGACCTCAACCATAATGTTAAAAAAAAAACAAAAGAGCAAATAGTCTTGTCATAGTTCTTTCTCTATATGCATTTCTCTGGTAGAGGAGCCATTGATAAAGATAGACATTGTGATAGTAGTAACACAAGATCTTGCCCTTATATGCCAATTGTCACCAAATCCCATGATGTTCATAGATAAGTGTAGAAATTCCCAATAGACACTATCAAATGCCTTTTCAAAATTCACTTTAAGAAAGATTTCACCTTTTTTATTCTTTTTCATAATGTCAACCATTTCATTGGCAATGAAAGAATAGTCAAGGAGTTGTCTACCTTGAATGAAGGTAAATTAATTAATGCCCATAACTTCATCAGTCACTCTCTGTAATTGAAGGGAAAGAAAGAAACGCGAGACCCATTTTCCTGTCTTCGTGTTCCCTTTGGTGTGAGGTTCACACTCCATTTGCCATTAACTTACCCATCCATCATTCTCACATTGTATATCTACTTATCTCCTTAGAATCTATCCTTTGTAAAGTCCTCCGTATATACTACATTATAACTCAAATCTCACTCAATCTTGTATTCTAGCTTTAATTAATATTAAATTTCAAATCAAATTAGTTAGTAAAACAAAGTAAAGCATGTGTGAATCATTAACTTGTTCCCACCACGCTTACATTAGTCCTTCTAATTTCGACATTGCTGATTTTAACCTTTTAAATCACCTAACAACCATAGAGAAATTTTAGGAGTACACTTGTAATAGATTTAAGTATTTTTTTAACTCTTTCTTTTCCAAGCATATTGTTAGGAACGACATGAAGGAGTATTGATCGAATCATACATACGCAGCGGAATAAATAAAATTAAAACAAACATAAAAGGCTCATGCCATGGTCCATAGATCACCTTGGTGTTTTAATATAATCATAACATTAAGAGGAGTAATCCGAAAGTTTTATTACCTTACCAAGTGATGTAGTAATCATGATGGCACCCTTTTCTTTGTTGTAAAACAATGGCAGACCATAAAGAAATGAAAGAACCCAAGTCACTCAAATGTTTGGCCTTTAACAGTTACACACACCATTGCAATAGAACCTTCACCAAGGATGGAGCGTTTCAACTATGCCTTTGTGTAGCAAAGTGGACAACAATTTGTCCCCTCCACACTTCACTCTCTAATGGCCAAATACCATAAAAAGAGTTTCTTTTCTAAGAATTTTCTGAATAGACGGCTAGAAAGTGTTTATAGGTTATGTGTTGTTTAACATCACTTTTACAATATGATAACTCTATGTTATAGAGTTATTTGGTCTTAATTTTTAATATATTTTGTCTAAGTTCTTGAGATTTAGTTTAAGTATTAATTATTTTTAGTTATTTTTAATTATTTATTTTATTTTAGTAAATTATTATAGGTTCAATCGTATTAGGCTAGTTTATGTTATTTTATTTAAGTGAACCTATTATTTAAGTTTAGTTTTATATTTTTGTAGATGTGCTTTGAAGGAAAGGCCGAATTTGTGAAGAAGATGCATTTTAGGTGTAGACTTCATTTACATATGTTGGGGTCTTTCAAGCATAGATCTCACTACAGAAGTCCAAATGATGTGATTCTTAGATCATTGGAAATGTAAGAGGTAGAGCTAAAACTTTCATGTTTACCAATTCACCCATTTCATCTTAAAAAGAAGTTAAAAATCATGTTGAATCTAGAGTATTGCAATAAAGCCTAAATGAGCAAAGAAAAGCCTTAAGTGTTGTGGCCAAGGAGAAGCCAACGCCGCAACACCCTAATTAGAGAATGGCACCTTAGCTAATAAATGGGGCTAGGTGTTATGGCCACAAGATGCCCAACACCGCAGCACCAAAAAAGAAAACAAGAAAAAAAATAAAAG